CCTCATCTAACATGAGGCAGATTCTGGACTCCTCATGGAGGCCATCAGTACACTGATTTTGCAAGAAAACTTCATTTTTTTAAAAAAAGGAGAATTTAGAAATAAAAAAAAAAGGTAGAGATGGTTATAAGCAACCCTCTAAAACTGTGCTTGTAAATATAGAATAACATCCCCTTTGAAAGGAAAATCATACATTTCCAATTGAAAACAATACTTCACACAGTATTTCCTGTAATTTAACAGTTGGATCTATGTGAATATATTCCGATAAGTGATATATGAATCATCATATATTCCATAATATAAACAGTGCTTGAGGAAAAGAAAAAAATTAATTCAAATTTTTTAACATATTTATTTTTCCTAGGCATGAGTACTCCCAGGATTTGGCAGAATAAACCAAATACTATATTCTGAGGCAGTATACTTCAAAGAGGACTATTCTGTGGAATCTCTGTTTTGACTAAAAATATTACAAATCTCAGAGAAGAAAACAGAAGGAAAGATGAATCAGCTTCTGGAGGGGTATATCTCGATAACAAAACAAAACAAAACAAACAAACAAAAAAAAAAAGCTTGGTAGATGTTTAACAGCCAGCTAAAATATGGAGTCAGCTCTTACTATTTATTCAGCATTTAATAGATTTGAATTGTGAGGAGGAGGAGTTGAGCTTTTAGTGATAGTAATACCTAGTTAGCTAGTTATGATACAAATATGATTCTTGTCTTCTGGAAAGAATCTCTTTTCCAGTTTTGATATTAAGAGATAAAGTTCATAAAGAGCATGAGAGAAATAAATCATAGAATTGTAGAATCATTAAGGTTGGAAAATCATTAAGGTTGGATGATCTTCAAGATTATCTGGTCCAACCATCACCCTACACCAATGTCACCCACTAAACCATGTCCCTAAGCACCAGATCCAACCTTTCCTTGAACATCCCCAGGGAAAGCGACTCCACCACTTCCCTGGGCAAACTGTTCCAATACCTGACTACTCTCTCTGAGAATAAATTTCTCAGAATTTCCAACTTAATATTATAGAATTTAAATGAATAACTTAGTTCTCAAGCTGTTTCAATTCCTGATAAAACTGTATAAATGCTTTTCAATTCAGTAGTCCAACCTAAAGGCTAAATCCAGGATATTTACTATACTTGTGCAAGTGGGCAAAAATTGCTAAATGTCTAACAATGTCCTGTTTTCTGAGTGAGATTTTGAACCAAGAGTAACAATTGTTTGCTGAAAGTATCTCTGCATTGGAAAAATTCTTGCAGATATTTATAGCTTGTCACAAAAAGCTCACTCTGATAACACTGATCATGTTCCAAAATATGAGCATATTTCATGCTCAAAATTAATACGTATATGCACACTTGACAGTTCCCTGTAACAGTTAGGAAATGTCAGTATTTTTTAAGATTGTGAAGGATGAGAAATTAGATAGCTAGAAGGTTTTTGTTTGTTTTGTAGGTGGTGTTAATGAAATTGCAATACGTGTAATGAGGTTGGCTTTAGAACTAATATAAGTTAAGATATTTACATTCAAGAAGCCTGAAGTAATACTTGACTGATCTCACTTAATTGGACAAGCTTAGCATGACAATCAATATATTCATCAAGTATAATTAGAAAATAAATTTTAGCTAACAAGATCCTTTGAAGAAAATACCATTTACAAGTTTTAGAAAAATAATACCAGCAACAGTACCAGTTATGCCACTATTTAACTCTCCCCATTCAAAGTAACACTGGAACATATCTTTTACACAACTACTAACCAGATTTTATTTTTCTTCAAAATGCATAAGCTGTTTTATTCAACATTGGATTGTGATGTAACTATGCAAATGTAAACACAAACAGGTTTTTCAAACCCCTATTTCAAATGGAAGATTTTATCTTTATTACAAAAACAGAATGGCTGGTAAACTACAGATTTACAGGAGCTAAGGGAGCCATTGATTTCAACAGAGCTAGCATGTTTTCCTGAGATCTCTTTAACAGCTAGAGGTATTGTATGGTATTATAAACTCTTTCTGTAACATTGGGGTCTTGTAAGACTGATATAAAGGAGCACAAATACTACTCTCTAACATGCTTTTGACATTTGAATTCTGACAAGTTCCTCTGTGGTATCAACACTTGTAGCCTTGCCGTCAGCAATCAGCTTGCTCCGTTAACTAAAGCTGTGATTTAGTCTTTACCTTCTATAAAATATATCTTAATGATAAAAAAAGTCAAACACTTTTCTGAAAACTTTTAATAGCCTGTACTTTACCAGCAAATGTCTGTTAGAAAATATTGCCACCTACTTTCTACTTCTATCTACTTCTAAAACACTGGCTTTCTAAATTAGTTTTCTGCTTTGTGTAACTGCAGCTGCTTTCTCCCAACCACATGTCACATCACATGTAATTGGACTTGGTTTATTATATAACTAAGGAATACAGCCTACATCTTATGCCTTTTCTATTTTCTATACACCGTATACAGTACTTTTAATGATATCCTTAGAGAGCTGGTCAAAGAGCTTGGGGGTAGAAATGTGCTAGTGACTGTAGGTTCAGCCCAAGCTAAGAAGGAGCTCAGGGTAGGATTTGTGGTATTTTGTTTGTTAGTTCCCACTTAAAAAGTCCCTTCAGAGTAATAAGATGAGCATCAAATTCTGCCTCACATTTGACAGACATGCAGTAAAGTCTCCCTTGGGCTGTAAAATATAATGAAAAAGAGCCCAAAAATAGTAATATGACAAACATAATTGTAATCACTGAATCACCCTGGACATTTCTGTAAAGGAGAATGAAAATAGAATAAACTCCTATTAAAAAAAATAATTTATATTTAACATATACTTTGATTTGATGAAACTTATCAACTCCCTTTAAACAGTGCTACTGAAGATCAACAGCTTTGTGTATATGTATTTCTTTATTCTTTCCTGTACTGTATCCACAGAGAATGAAATATTCAAAATAATAAATAAACAGTAAAAATGTTTGTATATGGAATCTCTAGTAAACTGAGTATGAACTGCTGTCTCAGAACATTTGACTACCCTATAAAGTATTAAATGGAATCAATGGAATCTATGACAACAATTTATATGTTTTTGTAATAGTTGCTATTTATAGCTCTGGAGAATAACCAGTATATCTGAACCTAAACTCACATAAGTATCTAAAAAGATGGCCTATTTTTGAAGAATTCAAGGCAATATTTGGGTCTTAAAGTAGAGCGAAATATCCAGCCTTAGGAGCTCAGTATTGAAAAATTTGAATTTAGCACATTATAGAAATCGGTTCATCAGATTTGATACCTTCATTTCAAGAGTTATCATGAACAGGAATTCCCAATTCTTATCAATGATCTCAATCCTTAGTCTGGCAGAAAGTTATCCTGTCTGTCTCTCAAAAACAAATTTATAAAACAAGGAGACAGCTCCAGCACTTTCCTGGTCCTTTTATCCCCTTATACATAGCAAAATCTCCTCAGCACACTGCTTTTCTGTTCTGACCCTTCAGTTACACAAATCTCGCAGTTACAGAGACTACAGAAGGAGATCAAAGATGCTTGGCCTTACACATCAGTCAGGTTTCTTGTTATATTGCAGCTCACTAAAAAAAAATTGTCACTAGATATGGGGAAAGTGGAATTACAGAAACATAACGGTAATTTTTAAAACACTTGAAGAACATTCTTCTGAACTTGAAACTTCTGAATTTGAAACTTGAAATTTCTGATCTGTCTACTCAAGCATCACCAAAAGGTAACCTATGGAATAGCTTCCTCTAACAATTTAAACAGGCAGAGAAACAAGACACTTTGTATCCATCACTGCACACATAAATCCTACTTCCACTGTTCCATCTTTGTCTTAAAGTCTTTTCACTACTTCTTTTTCCAGCAGAAATCATGTAAAGAATACAATCACAAACAAAGGCAAACTTTGAACTTGAAGTGTAATAAAAAATGAATGAGCCAATATTTATTTTTATTTTGATGGAAAAAACAAACAAACAAAAGTACTTAAGGGACAGAATTAAAGATTCTGAATGGTATGAATTAATAACCTCCTCAAGTACTTTTTCTAATTATAATCCCTGAGTAGGCACATAATCCAAATGACCTGAACAGGTTGCATCTTCTGTTTCTCCTACAATATGTTGCATGACCTTAGTACCTTTTGAAAAGAATGTCACATATTTTGTGTTTCCAGTTCCACATACTGAGGTACTCTGCATGCAGGTAACAGATTAAGACCTTTGTACAACTATGATATGATTATATGTATACAATATAATATAATCATATTATATAATATAATCATATAATCATGAGTATATGACCAAGGAAAACAAAATCCGCCTGGAGACTGGATTGAATATATAAAATATAGAAAGAAAGAAAAAAAAATCACTTAAATATACGGAATGTAAAATGTTTTGCCTTAAAGAAACTCCCTGGGAAAGGAAAAAAAAAAAAAAAAAAAAAAAAAGGATTTCAGAAAGTATGTCACAAGTTACATACACTTTGTTTTATGTGAAGGAAGGCACTAGACAGTCAGTGTTTTCAGTGTTTCAACTTACTCTAGAGTCAGTTCTTTGATTTCTGGAACAATGTCACACCATACAGATATCAAATGCTGATGAATAAATAGTGTTAATATTTATGTCTGTCCAGAAATTTTATATTCAGTTGCCAGTTCCTCACTAACTATAAAGTTTTTATAACATTCACAATTTATTTTATGAAGATACAAATATTTAAATACTGAAATTGAATTGTGAAAAGAGTACAGAAAGAACAGAAATTCTCAGGCAGTGGTATACTTAACACTGGCTTCATATGGAGCCAAAAACTGATAGTAATCTGAAGTATACATCAGAATAGAGAATATATGTTGGTTTTACTAAGGGTGGAATATCAGCTACTTTCTCCTTTGTGTATGCATACATTAAGTAAGTCATAAGAATTTGCTGTGTTAAAGCAAAACTTACCATTGTTTGATGAGCCTAATGCTTAAAAGATCAAAAGTCCATAACAACAGCTACCACCTAAACAGTAAAACAAATCAACAACTTTTACTAGGCTAAATTAATTTATCTATGAAAAAAATCATAAATATGCAAAAACATACATTCATAATTTCCTGCAGACCAATTCTGACAGCTAACATAATCAGGAAAACTGTGTTAAATATGAAGCTTAGAGTTACAAGAATTATCCACACATGTATTTCATTTTCTTTTGTATAGTTTTTCCATTAAAGCTATTTAAATCTACCATGCACATTTAATTCTGATCAAATACAATGTAATAATTTCCTTTCTGAAAAAGTATCAAAGGTAAGAGAAAATGTAAGCCCAATGGTGTTTTATGCTGAGCACTGTAGTTTATATACTAAGGCAAATTAATATAAACAGCCACATCATCAGACATTTTACATTGATATTGATGCCTTTTAATATCCTCTCACATGGCTATAAGTGCTAATTCATGCAACTTTTCTGCTTTCAACACCACTACCACTGCATCAACATGTCACCTAAATAACTGTAATTAAGCATTCTCCATAGCTGCTGATTACAGTATGCTGATGAACATTCCCAGTGGATTTAGCAGCTTCTTTCATAACAACGACAATAATCATCTCATATTATAATGTCTGTGCTTCTGAAGACTTCTTAAATAATCTAAAATTTAAATTGTACAGACTGTTGATTATTGCAATCTAAAGTTCAACAGGAGCTTAATCAAAAAGGTTCAAGTATCCCATTGCTGACATCTATTAAGCAATATGGTAATATATATCTCAGGAAATAAATACTTAATGTACTTGGTCGTTCAATCTAAGTAAACATTTTTATAAATGTCCATTTCCCTCTTAAAAAAGAGCCCTGGAATTTAATTTATTTATTCATTAGGAAACAAACATTTTTCCTTCTCTTGTATCTTCAGTGAGGATCTCATAAGGTCCTTGTAATTTTGCATAGAGAAGAATAATATTCAGAAAGCCAAAGTGCACAATGATGTCTCTTAAGACTTTGTTATTTTGATTATAGTTTGAAAGCTAATGGATCCCATTTCTTTGAACTGAAATCACACAAGTTCAGTTGTGAGGTAGTCACCTAGACCAGTCTACTGTCTGTGATGACCCAAGCTCTTTTCAAACTGTAGAACTCACATTGTTTTCTTCATGTTATTCAAGCTTTGAAAAAGTACTCTGTGCAAGGAGTTGGAACTCCTTGGCTTATCCCATCACAGAAGACTTAATAGGCTATTCTTTTCAAATACGTACTTCAGTAGAAAGAAGTATTTTGACTTTCTTTCTTAAATTGTAATTTATATTCAATACAGTCACATATTTTGTTAAATCATATCTAAAAATGCAAGTCTGTCATGAATTTCTCTACAATTGGTGAGAACCATACCTTGTGACATAACATTCACACATCAAAAAAGACTAGTACAGAACCTGTGCTACCAATTTCTGACAATTTATAGAAGCAAATAATGATTCACCACCACCAGCAGCATGAATACTTCAGGGCATAACATGTCTTAGCAAAACTGCCCTCTAGATGTTCTTCCTTCACATTCTCATTAGAAATTTTATACACACACACATATATATATACTATTATTTTGCTAACCTTTTTTTTTTTTTTTTAATTACATACACATTCTTTTTCTGTGTCTGGATGAAAGGTATTTCTCTGCCACTTCATTTCTCCATCTGAGACATCTCTTTTTTAGAATGCTCTTAATGCCCATCTTTGTCAAAAGACAAAAGGCGAATATCATTGAGACAGAATATCTACTGAACCATTCTAGAAATTCTCCTGGTGTAATAAGGCCATTTAATTCAATTTAAATCATTTTTGCTAAGCCTGTGATGGTCTGGTTTCAGTTATCTTCTCTGAGTATTTATTTTGACCACGTTATTTCATTGCAAATAAAGTATAATGAAGAAGTAAATATGTAAGAGCTATGTATTATATGTAATGTGTATTTCAAAAGAAATACAATCCAATAAAATCTTGTATCTTATATACCGTGAAAAAGTGATCTTCCTCATTACAATTTCTTGATATCATATCAAGAAAGCTATATGTTGCTTCTTACAAGTTTTCTTCAAGAAAATTATCTCTGAAACCACATGACAAATAAAATGCCTGAGATGTACATATATGTGTGATAATGCATGTATTTATATATATTTTCGTTCATTTGCAAGGTGTATTAAAATTTCATTATCAGATCTTTGAAACTGTAGACATGGAATTGAAGCATGTTATATGGTTGGATCATTTGCAGGATCTGTTTTTAATGTCATTTTCAATCCATCTTTATCATACCTTTCCATCCAATTCAAATTCATTAGCAAAATGGCAATGTTCTTCCAACAAGGAAACACATCTCTGTTGTATAACTGGAAAAAATTTTTAATCTTACATTGACAAAAGTGTTTGAAAGGGATAGAAAGAACACATGGTTAGGAAAAATAAGAGATTTCATCCTAAGAAAAGAAGTATTTTTCATTCTTTAAAGCAAACTGATTTCAGCAAATCCATTTTGGTATGTAAATACACAGGAGCAATTGATACAGAAAAGATACAGAGGCAAAAACCTGGTAATATCTTTTCACGTCACCTCTTCCACTTTCTGAGTTACCTTTGTTCAGTATAAAGATGCTCTGGCCTTCTCTAACTGTTACCATTCAAAGCTTTTTGAGAGATTCTGTTGACCTTTAAGATCCAGGCAGCAGCTACATTTACCTACTGTAGCATATCCATATGAATGGTCTCAGGAAAAAAAAAAAAAAAAAAAAAAGGAAAGGAAAGGAAAAAAATAGGTCATTTTTGCCCTTTAATTCCCTGTAATACAAGGGAAAAGAGTAAGGGTGGAAGGAAATCAATCGCAACTTATCCCTTGACGAATATCAGCAAACACTGTGTCACAAAACCAATGTGAAGAAATGGAGTATGGATTTTCTGCTGACATTTGTAAAGTGTTTGTGTCAAAGTATTTTTCTAATATAGCAAAGGTTACAGTTTAACAAATTAAAGCACATGTTTCTTTTGAACCGACACGCTGGTCATTTAGGTTAATTTAAATGCCTTGTGTTTTTCTAATAAATTCTTAACCTAACCTACTGTCATTATGGCTACTTTTGCATTAATCTGCCATAAATAATTTTTTCAACAAAATTAGCTGAATGACAACAGCATAGTATAGTATATGACTTTATTTACCTGGAGGAAATACTATATGTCACTTAAAATATGCCCAGAAGAGAATTTGCATTGCAAATACATAAGTAAAGATTTAGTTTGAATATCTATTATTTCTGAGAGCCCAAATGCACTTTGATATTACAGGAGTGCTTGAACTTGATAACTATGTCCTGTGAGTTACAACTTCAGTTATTATGTTTCCTAACAATGACAAAACCTCTCTTTGTTTTCATGATCTCCATGACTGAATTTACTTTAAACTATTTTAGTATTTTTAAAATATAGTGTGATTATAGCTTATAATGAATACAGCTTAAAAACAAAGTTGTCATTGGACTGTTGTGCAGTAACGGAGTAATGATCATCCTAGGAAATTAATTTCACTTTAACTAATAAGTGAACACCAAATATAATTCTGAAGTCATTCTTTATGATTTATTCACAAGTGCTTTTGCTCATATGTGTTTCATTCTATTTTGTATATTCTTTGTGTAAGAAACAGCATTTTAGAAGACACACGTTTTCCTAGTTGGTCAAGGAAGGTGATTGTCCTGCTCTGCTCTGCGCTGGTCTGGCCTCACCTTGAGTACTGTGTGCAGTTCTGGGCACCACAGAAGTACAAGAAGGACATTAAACTGTTAAAGTGTCCAGAGGAGGGTGACGAAGATGGTGAAGGGCCTAGAGGGGAAGACATATGAGGAGTGGCTGAGGGCACTTGGTCTGTTCAGTCTGGAGAAGAGGAGGCTGAGGGGGGATCTCATTGCAGTCTACAACTTCCTTGCAAGGGGTGTGTAGAGGCAGGTGACCCTATTATCTGTAAACACCAATGATAGGACCTGGGGAATGGTGTCAAGCTGAGGCAGGGGAAATTTAGGCTGGACATCAGGAACAGGTTCTTCACCGAGAGGGTGGTTGCACACTGGAACAGGCTCCCCAGGGACGTAGTCACTGCACCAAGCCTGTCTGAATTTAAGAAGCAATTGGGCTGTGCACTTAGTCACATGATCTAAATTTTGGGGCAGACCTGTGCGGTGCCAGGAGTTGGACTTGATGATCCTTATGGGTCCCTTCCAACTCGGGATATTCTTTGATTCTAATAATCAAAATCATAAGTGGATTCTCCTTTTTTTCACTCATAAGGTGTCGTCTTTCTCTATATTGTTTGCAATATTATTTACCCTAGTGATGTAACAGCTTTTGAAATAAGCTAATACAGCAATAATTATCTTTCTGGATTACAACACAGGATTCTGCTTTCGGTGGTGATTCCCTCCATCTCCAAAGACCATTCTCTTGGGGGATGTTAGTAATTCACACAGATAAATTTTGGACCGAACATCTCTGTTAATCCTCTTGAAGAACTGGCAATGAAGAGTAAGCACAGCCTAAAAGAGAGGTTTAATCCCAGTTTAACAGGCCTAGTACTTTCAGATCCTCTCTTTTAAGGGGGCCACATGTCAGCCATTTTTATATGGCAGCTTGCATTTCCCTTGCACTTTTTTCCCTTCCATATGCTAGAAAGATCAAGTGGAAAAGTAAGCCTACATCATGCACTGCTCTTCTGTCAAGGAGGTTCTTCTCGTTTATATCCTCTGAAGGTAGTCATAGTGAAAGGCATTTACTAGTGAATGAGTGGAAGGAACCTCTCTTCTTCCCTCCCGCCTTTTCCACTTTCTCCAAGAAAATCTAAGCAGTTTTGGCATAGGTACTGCATTCATTTGTTTCATTCAACTTTATATGAGATATTTCATGTCATTCACCCAGAAATGCTGATTCCAAATTGTAGGGCTGTGTGAACCTCCCTATTACTTACTACCACAGGATAGTCATCACTGAGATGATAAAAACTAGGCAAATTAGTAGATAGGTGTTGTCCAACAGGTCACTGAATAAGAATGGTTTCACTCTTTGCGTTAGCTGATATCCCTACAATTAATTATTTACAGTACTCTATATGACCAAAATATTTTGTTTTGTTTTGTTTTTTCATTATGCATTGTCAAAAGTGCCCAGAGCAGAATAATGAAAGTGAAGAATGTATGTATTTTTTCTATTTTTATTAAATACATGAGAGCTTTATGCAATTCAACACTCCCAGACTTTCAACTTCTACTTAAACCTTCACAGATTTTGCCTAACTCTGCACTTACATACACATAAAGCTTACCGTGAAGGGTTATATGAGAGGCCTTTCAAGAAAATGAACTGTGCTAAAGAGGATAAGCAAAATCTTTCTACTTCCAATTCTTTCTATTGTTCATAAAGAGGGTGAGACCATATATTCTCAGGATTCCTTCAAAGATGAACAGTAGCCTGCTTCATTCTGTATATGTTATATGAGCAACAGTCGTGCAATATGTCTCTGCACAAAACAATAAAATGCCTTTTCAAACAATAGTTGCCACATTTTTCCCTGATTAATATAATAGCAAGAATCATACATTACAATAAAAATTATGTAACTCCAAAAACCAAGAACATACAAAGAATCAATGAAACAAAGAATCAAACAAACACATTCTGCAATGGAGCGGGGGATCACAGCTTGCAGGGGTTTCCTGCATCGAGGCCACTCAAGACAGCCGAGGTCGCCACCAGCACACAGAAGCCCTTGTAAGGGTGGCTGACAAGGCTTGGGCAGAGCCAGGAGCACCCACTCCTCTGCCCTACAAAGGCAGACACTGGGGAGTGTGGCAAACAAAGAGCAGTGTGGCAGTTTACATGACAATGCACTCAGGCAAGGTGAAGTTTCCCTCCCCACTCGGGAGACCAGCTTACCTATCGACTGCCTCCCAGACAGCAAATCCAGCCACGGCCTCCACCAGGCAGAAAGCTCTTGCCAAAAGACTGTGGCAACCCACATTGAATGCCTGCCCAAAAATGTGGCTGTTCTGGCTCTGGCTGCAGGGATTGCCTGAGTCTGTTGCTGCCAATAGAGGGTGGAAGAGATACCACCTGTGTGAGGTGCGAGCAGGTTGAGGATCTGATCAGCCTGGTGGCAGAGCTCAAGGAGGAGATGGAGAGATTATCAGGGAGAGTGAGCAGGAGTTAGATGGGTGGAGTAACTCCCTGCCATGCCTGAGAGAAAGGCACTGGGATGATACAACCCAAATATTGGTGTACCTCCTGTCCTCTTGCTGTTGGACAGAGGGAGAGGACTTCAGAGATGTGGAGGAATGGAAACAGGTCCCTGGTTAGTGTCGCAGGCAAGTCCCCTCCCTACCCACCTTGCCTTCCCAGGTGCCCTTACAAAATACATTTGAGGCTCTGGAGCTTGAGTGATGTTTAGGTGAGGATGTGGTAAAAGGTCCACCCAGGAGGTTTTCTAAGGCAAGGAAGTTACCTCAAGATAGCCTCAAGATGGAAAGATGGGTAGTTGTTGTATATGACTCCCTTCTGAGGGAAACCAAGGGCCCATATGTCAGCCTGACCCTACCCGTAGGGAAGTCTGCTGCCTCCCTTAGGCCCTGGTCAGGGACATTACCAGGAAACTTCCTGGCCTGGTTTGCCCCTCCAGTTACTGATAATTCATGCTGCCAGAGATGAAGTCACTGAGGGAAGCCTGAAGGCTATCAAAAGGGAATTCAGAGAACTAACATCCACGTTAGTGGATGGAGTAGGAGTACAGGTGTTGTTTTCCTCTATCCCTTCAGTGGCAGGGAGGGATACTGAGAGGACCCGGAAAACTCAGTTGATAAGCACTGGCTGAGAGGCTGGTGCCATAGCAGGATTTTTATTTATTTATTTATTTTTGACTATAGGGCATACATTTTGAACATGAAATGTTCAAAAAACATGAAATATTTGTTATTTATATGTTTCCCCTACATCAGATAAGACTGTCCTTTCTACCCTAAAGAGTTCACTTTTCATCCCTTTACCTGATCTGTCACAACTTCAGACACAACCAGAATTTTAATGCAATTTAACCTATATCATAATCGCTTGCTCCTGTAAAAAGAATAAAACTGTGAAACTGGATTAGCACCATGGAGTGCAATATGTAATTTCAAATCAGTAAAACACAAGACTGTAGACCAGGATTTAGGAAATTCTGACTCAGATTAGATTTGACAGGGAAAGAAAAGGGAATAAGAAGAAAGAAGTGCCTTGATTTAGAGGAAATGAACTCATTAAGATTTATAGCTCTAGACAGTGATTGTTATTAATCATTTAAATATTTTTGCTGAGAGAAAGCTTTGATGCCTACCTAGGAAAGTAATATCTGTAATAAAATAATAATGGTTTGGAAAAAAAAAAAAAAAAAAAAAAAGGCTTATAAAATTAATAGACTTAGAGAATTTAAACAGAGTGATATGGGAATAAAATGGAACATTTCAAAAGTTGAAGGAATTTCACATGGATGTACATGTAAACAAACCCACTGGCTAATCAGAGCCTAAATTAATCTTGTAGGTGTCTGCAGGAATAAACATTAAATTTGTGGGGCAAATAGATGTGAAATCATTTTAAATTGCATCTCTAGAATAACATAAATTTTGTGTGATAATCTGTGTTACACACCTCTGTATTTACTACATATGTATTTCAGACAGATGTCTCCAGATTTGGTTGATTTTAATGAGATTTTCAGTAGGGACAAATAACTTTCGGTGTTTAGCTTGGAATAACCTAAGGGTATATAATGTTAAAACTGTGTATGCTTTCTTGGTTTCATTACAGTGGTTGCTTTTGAAAACTTTATCCAATATTCACACAGGTCTGTAATCTGTGAGAAAGAAAATGTAGCCTATCATTTACCCATTGTAGATAACCCCAGTCCATATGATCAGAATCATCAAAGCTTTTCAAATCAGAGATTTTCATTATCAGAATGCTAAAATTTCTGTCATATATGTAAAATAATTTACAATATTTGGAAAAAAAAAAAAAAAGGTACTCTAATTATGGGGATCTTTTATAAAAATATAACAATTCATTTTTTACTTAGAAATTTACCAGAACTTAATCACAAGAAAAGGCTCTCTCACACAATGTAAAAGAAAACACAGCAGGCCTTTCTATTCTTAATGGTCAATTCCTATCACATACATAGTGTCATTGCCTCTGTCATTATTTTGGACTGCTCGTGTATTTAATGGTTGATCACATAATTTCAAAGCTACTGAATCAAAACTACTGTTACATGTAGTCTACTTTTCATGTGCAAAGAAATCTTAAATGAAAATATATCAGCAGTAAGTTTTATCTCAATGGATGTCTAAATACAAGTCATTAATCACCTTTGGTTTCCTCTAAAGCCACTGTTGAGAAATGATTCCTTCAGAGACAAATTCATCTTAGACACATATTTTGGGAGGATTTGAAACACCCCTTCCAGAGGTCTATTTTTCTCCAGTGACTACAAAGGGAGATAAAGATGAGTTTACACCTAGGTAATTTTTAGACTCCTTTGTTGGGTGGGATGAAAAACCTTCTTGGAAAACTGCATATGTACCTTTTGAGGAAAGCTCTCAGTTAAGAGCCTCAAATCAGCAGTAACAGTAATTACAGGGCAGGTGTAGTTGCCCTGCAACACGTGTAGCTGTTCCTTTAAGTAGCTGAGAATAGCTGTCCCTATAAAAAACTACATTCTTATCCTTTTTTCCCTTACTATTTTATATTCTTTAGAATCATGTTGTCATGAAAATATGGTTATAAAATATGATTCTGTCAGATTCAGTTTGTTAATTTGTTCATCATTTACCAATAAACTTTGAAGATGTTTCAAAGATGAGCCTTCTGGGGAGATGTACGTATAAATGACTTAATTATTTGGGTTAACAGACGTAGTACATATTTGTGTTACTCACTAACACCAGATATGCCCAAAATAATAGTAAATAATCACTGTGTATTATGCCTCACATCTCATATTTTAAGATTCGGTTTGAACAGACTTACTGGGAGGGCTCATACAACTTTGCCCTTCCCATTCAATATAGAAATATATATTTATATATAGAAAATATATTTTCTTTGTACTGAAAATTTGTTACACTCAAGGTAAAGCACTGTGAATTTTATATGCCTTTCATATATAACACACCTAGAATATTTGGAACACAAATAGTGTGTAAAGCAACCAGAGCATGCCTACTGCACCACTAAGGTAGCAGTCTCTTCTGTTATCCAAGACTGGATTGCAAAATACAATGCAAGATGAATAATTTCTGCATCCCATGCCATGATCATAGCTGCGCTACTTTCCAGCTATGCCATACCTTAAACAGATTGTATCTGAGTGTCATCAAGACTGTACTGAGGACTGCTTCAGCTGTGTATGCAAAGCCCAGTTCTAAAAATGTGTAAGATGCCTTGCTAAGTATAACCATTTTCACCAGGTGAAAAACCAAGGTACCTGTTTTCTTCATTAAAAGATTCACCACAGTCCCCTGTATGGCAAAAGAGATAGTCTGCCACTCAGAAAGAAGATTTTGTCCTCTGCCTCCACAGTATAATACTTCCTTACTTCACAGGGAGTCTGGGAGTCAGTAAATATTTTAAGAATCTGTCTCTAGGGCTGCAGTCACCTCAATAACACTAAAGAGTGCCTTTAAATCATGGTTCTGAGCCTATCAGAAAATGGTAAGGATAATATTTTCTCTGTAGAGTTAACCATGCTAGAAACCAAATTGTTCCAGGTGACGTGTTAGCTTTTGTGGTGGTTTTATTCAGCTAGGCAGCTGAGCACCATCACCACCACTCTCTCTTGCCCCATCCGTCTCCCCGCCTTCCCCACCCTCCCCTGCATCCTCAAAGGGAAAAGACGAGAAAAATATGATGAGAAGGGCTCAAGAGTTGAGATAAGGACCAGGATATCACTCAACAATTATCATCACAGGCAAAACAAACTCCGCACATGGAGATTAATGAAATGTATCACCTATGACTAACAAGCTGGACCAGAGAGAAACAACAAAACCAAACAAACTATAAGCATCTTCTCCTCATCCACCCTCTTCTACCTCCTCCCCCCATGTGCCACAGGGGAACAGGGGCTAACGCTCCACCTCCACTGCTCCTTCATGGTCACTCTCTGCCCCTGCTCCACGTGGGGGCCCTCCTACGGGATGCTGTCCTTCCTGAACTGAGCCTGTGGGGGCTGCCCACAGGCAGCAGCTCTTCAAGAACTGTTCCAACATGGCTCCGTAACACAGAGTTCATCCGACAGGAGCAAACTTCTCCAGCACAGGTCCCCCACATGCAGCAGCTCCCCCCAGGCCCCCAGCTCCTGCATGGGCTCCTCTCCATAGGCTGCAGCTCCAGCCCAGGGACTGCTCCTGCGGGGGCTCTCCATGGGCTGCAGCCTCCTCTAGGCCACATCCACCTGCTCCACTGGGGGCTCCTCCATGGGCTGCAGGGTGGAGATCTGCTCCATGCGGGACCCATGGGCTGCAGGGGGACAGCCTGCTCCACCAGGGGCCTCTCCACAGGCTGCAGGGGAACTGCTGCTGTGTTCCTGGAGCACCTCCTGCCCTCCTTCTGCACTGGCCCTGGTCTCTGCAGGGCTGGTTCTCACTCCTCTCTCCCAGCTGCTGTGGCACAGCAAGTTTTTTTTCTTCTCTTAAATCTGCTCTCCCAGAGGCACAAACATCTTTTATTGGCTCAGCTCTAGCCAGTGGCCAGACCCTTTGGAGCCAGACAAAACTGTCCCTTATCTAACATGAGGCAGCTTCTGGATTCTTCTTACAGAGGCCATCCTTGCAGTCCCCCACTACCAAGACCTTGCCATGTAAATACAAGAGAACTTTCTACCTTGTATGAACCATACATAAATCCACATCATGTCTGAGTAGGAAGGGATCTGTGGGCAGGCCAGGCTGTGGCATCCATGTTATGAATTTGCCTCTACATGTGACTGCATCTGCAAACCAGGAAATGTCCAGGTTTGGAAAAATGCTTCCAGCTCAGATGCATAAGAGAAAGAAGCACATTCTCCAGATGCATTGAGCCTAAGAAAAACACCATAATGCTCCAAGAATTGGTAGCAGGAAACAACAGATCATTCCACACCATAGGAGAGCC